CCCCAAAACCCCAAAACCCCAAAACCCCAAAACCCCAAGAGGCGTAAATTAGTCGAGTAAGACGATTGTAAGGAAGCTAAAGATTCTATCTGATTAATAATTTATTAAATCTTTTTTTCCAACTAGAATAAATATGAACGAAGAGTATGATGTGATAGTACTTGGTACTGGTCTCAAGGAATGCATCCTTTCAGGACTCCTCTCTGTCAAGGGCAAGAAAGTCCTTCATTTGGACAGAAATGGCTACTATGGAGGTGAGACTGCTTCTCTTAACTTAACCAACTTATGGGCTATGTTCAGACCAGGCGTCGAACCACCCAAGGAATACGGACATAACAGAGACTGGAACGTTGATTTGATTCCTAAATTCATTATGGCCAACGGAAACCTCGTAAAGATGCTTCTCCACACTAAGGTAACTAGATATCTTGAATGGAAATGCGTTGATGGGTCATACGTCTTCCAAAATCAAAAGGGTGGTCTCTTTTCAAGCGCAAAATCAGTCATCCATAAGGTTCCCTCTAATGATTCAGAAGCCCTTAAGAGTCCACTTATGGGTCTCTGGGAGAAAAAGAGATGCAGAAACTTCTATCTCTATGTTCAAGATATCGAAGTTAACGAACCAAAGACCTGGAAAGATATTGATATTATGAGATAACCAATGAGAGATGTTTTCAAGAAATTCAAATTAGAAGACAATACCATTGATTTCTTAGGTCACTCAGTCGCTCTCTTCAGAGATGATGAATATATTGAGCAACCAGCAGTTGATTGTGTTAAGAAGATCGCTTTGTATGTCGAATCACTTGGTAAATATGGAGATTCACCATTCCTCTACCCAATCTATGGTCTTGGAGGACTTCCAGAGTCATTCTCTAGACTTTGCGCCATCCATGGAGGTACTTACATGCTCAACACCAAGGTTGATGAGATCCTCTTTACTGACGGCAGAGTCTCAGGAATTAAGAGTGGCACTGAAGAAGCAAAGGCACCATTGATCATCTGCGATCCAAGCTACGTAAGAGGTTTGAGCAAGGTACAGGAGAATGGTAAAGTCATCAGAGCTATTTGCATTCTTGACCACCCAATTCCAAGCACAAATGAGTCTACTTCATGCTAAGTCATCCTTCCTCAGAAACAATTAGGAAGAAAATACGGTAACTTATATACTTAAATACTAATATGTATATTTAGATATCTATATTTCAATGGTTAGTTCAAGCCATGCTGTCTGCTCAAAGGGATTATATATCGCTATGATCTCAACGACTGTTGAGACTTCAACACCAGAGCTTGAAATCAGACCAGCACTTGATTTACTAGGAGATGTTCTCGAGATGTTCGTTCAAATCTCAACCATCTATGAACCCATTGATGATGGAAAGAAGGACAACGTAATCCATTAATACCATACTAACAAAATTTATATAGCTTTTCGTTACTAAGAGCTATGATGCTACATCTCACTTCGAGAGTGCCAGTGACGAGGTACTTGAACTCTATGAGAGAATTACTGGAGAGAAATTAGATCTAAATATTGAACCAACTGATGAGGAGGAGTACTGAGAAGGTCAACAGAAACAAACTAATGAATATTCATAGCAGTGAGATATTAAGCAATAGAAGGGATGATGATAGAATGCTCTTAGAAGATTGTAAAATGGGAGAGAAACTTACTAAAGATTTCTGGAAAATGATACGTCTTTTATTAGTATTTTATTATCAATCTCTATATTTCGTAAATATTAAATTTAGTCAATATTCAAGTACTAGGGGTTTTGGGGTTTTGCGG